TAAACTAAAAATAAAGCATCAATCCAATACGCAATATCCATCAAATGTTTAAACTTCTTGTACAAAAGCTGCTGCAAAAGTACTATGACAACAATCAAATGTGCATGTCAGTATATACCATCAAACAAAATATGAAATAAACGATTCTGATTTCCAACTGAAAATATAACATTGCTGATGTCATGGCCATTTCTAGAGCATTTACTCAGGAATTATTACCTGATGATGTGAGCACATGAAACCATACATGATTTTTATAACAATAAATAAGCTTGTTTTCGACAATGTTATCTATTTCAGCAATAAAACAGTAGCCATGAATCCACAACAAGGGAACATTTATTCTTTGGAACAGCTTGTAAAATTATTTTCTAGCATTTCATAATTTAAAGATAAAAATCAAATACTTTTCTTGCAATTTGTTTTTTGAATATTTTCTACAGAAAAAAATATCCTTATATTTTTCAGTAATCAAACCCAATTTAAATATGAGTTAGTTTTGATAAGAAAATTGAAGAGAACTTTTTTAAAACGAGTATAAATCATTTTCTTGTTCTGTTAACGAGGCAGTATAATGTAGTTTTAATTATGTCACGTGCTTTAAATATTCCTGGGTGGCAGACTTTTTGTAAATTCCTTGCTTCTCTTTTATGATGTAGCAACAACATTTTCTGAGCTATTTGTAACAGTACACTTATTGTTTAGCACTTATTCAATTTGTTATAGTGATGTATTATGCTGTTTTGTCGGTTCATGCAGTTAAATTGTTTTACCAGAGTGATCAAAATGTTGTATTTGCATACGGTTAGGTGTATGATACGTTTAAAAACATGAATGTTTGTAGAGAATAAGAAAGATAATAGATTAATAAAGATAAATTTGCTATAATCAAAGTCACAAAAATCCTTGTCAAAAATATTGCGAAAAATATAATTACTCCGTTTAGATGAAAATGTTTTGTTTTTTTTAGGATATAAGCACTTCGTTGCATATTACATTGTCTATAAATAAATGTAAATGTAAATTAATTACATATGTATTTACAGCTGCTTTATATTGATTGACTAAGCATTATTGTCTTATGTCGTGTAATTAATAATGCAACTTTAAACATGGATATATCAGTTGAACCAGTATGAAATTTATAAACAAATGTTAAATATTTGATTTTGGAATTTAAATACATCTTTAAAAAGCTTTAGATGATGCAAAATCCATTTCAATTTTTTCTTCTTGTAATGACGACAAAAACTTGCTTTTCTTCAGAAATAGAGCTAATATCGTTCCAATGCAAGTTATACAAAACTTTGGCAATTTCCGAACATACTTCTTATAACAATTAAAACTATTATTTTTATATCGGACATCACAGCCTCTTGTAAAATATGTTTTTTAAAAAACCAAAGCCACATATTGCTACAAGGAAAACGTTGGTATTCAATTTGAAGAGATAATATATATCAAATTATTACAGACAGGTATATTTAAATAAATGCAAGAAAGTTAAATATTATCTTAAAACATTATCAGAGTCATTCAACCTGGTTAAAATACAAAACGAAAAGAAAAACCCAATTAAATGCGCAATTAACTTTCTACTAAAATAAAAATCATTGACCGAAATATCAAGATAGTTTAAAGTTTATGTGGAAACGTTTTTGCAGTTTAGGATTTAGTACACACGATGGATAAGTATTTTTTATAATAGTGTATGTATCATACCAAACATCAATTTATCTTTGCGAAAAATGAATAAAATACTCAAAAATGATCTTTTTAAGATTTTGTATATAATGAATTGTAAAAAACTTAAATGAGACTTGTTTTAAAATATACCCATGGCTGGACTGGAAGTAATAAACTAATAATGGAGAAAAAACCACTAAAATCCATGATTTTTTTGTGGTTGGATTTTACGTTGCACCACACAGTGGAGGTTTATATAGCGAGAATGGAGTATTATTTCAGGCATTAGCGGGCATATTTGTAGTACCATCGACGTTCCGTTCTCTAAATAAAAAGAAATGTCCCTGGAAGGATTTGAGCATACAGAGGTAAAGGGCAAGTGGTTTGATGCCAACGACCTTCACCACTCGGCCACAGAAGCAAAAATACCACAAATATTTGTGTTAAAATACATGTTTTCTTTGAACGAGTGCATGTATTTAACAAAATAGATATCTTTAAAGTCTTCTCTTTCATATTGAGATCTCTGACATTCAAAGAAATTTGGCATCGATATTTCTCTGCCAGTAATTTGGTTTTACATGTATTAAATAACTATTGAGCAAAGTCAATTTTAAGATAGAAAACAGCCGTATAATCCAACTTAACCCCTTCGTAAGGGAATATTATACTTTTACTAATTCAAGACATGCTTTGCTATATTCTATGATTAGGGTGGGTAGTTAACTCAGTGTGAACAATTTGTTTTGTAAGATAATTTATAATGAACAAAACAATAAAATCTATACACATGTAGCATGAACACCAAAATGACTCAATCATTACAAGTGTTGATGGTACAACAACCTGGATAATGTCAGGGTGTTGGCATTAATGTTTATCATAATGTATCTTATATAATTTAGTTACATCAGCATTTGCTTGTCTTGACTGAAGATCCTGACAATTACACGCCCTTTGGCTGACATTGAGACATTTACATTGGCATAAATACATATATGTCTGAAACAATAAAGCGTTCAAACCCGACAGTATAAACAAAGCCGACGATATCACTGTTATATTGTTATCATAATCGGGACTATTTAACCCTCAATGACAATATTTACACTATAGAATGATTTTCGTATCACAAAACACCATTTATTACATTCTTAATTTAATCAGAACAAATGTGTCTAATATATTTATAGGAAATTCAACTATGATACTATATAGATTATTACTTTTTTATTTTAACATTGTAAAAAGAGATTAATGCTCGAAACAAAGAAAGCTGACAGGGTGAGAAATGCTATTTAAAATTACTTAAAACGATCGTCAACTAACATCCGTAAAGATTATTTTAAATCTTGCAAGACTGTTAAATCAAGATTTTGGTAGTCTTTTTATTCGACGACAAACGTGTTTGTACTTGTATATATCATTCCTTGTAACAAATGTTTTTCTAGCATTCCAGAATCAGTGATACAAATCTTCTCCCTCACGTGCTAATACAATTGAATGTTTTATTCGGGAAGAAAAAACGTTGTCAGTTTATTAATACCTATCAGTATGAAATTATTCATAACTTCAACACCGAAACCTGTGAGTAATATTTGCAATACAAGACACAAAGAAATCACGGAATAAAAGAGCTGACTAAACATCACCTTGTTTTATTCCACAAAACAGGCTTAACCTTGTAATAGAATACACATTTTAATGATACCAGGTGATTTAAATGTACAGGTGAGATAAATGTGCCAATGGGTGGTAACTTAACGTTAATACCTTGTTAGCATTTGATGATGGAGGGAAACGTTTCATAATTTGTACAATCTGTATCACTTACCCAGCTAATAAATCGTTTAGAGTACAAATTGTAATAACGTGTTGCTTCTTTTACTTGAATTAGATGATTTCACGTTGTCAAGGATATGTACTTCAGTGCATTGATAAACAAATGCTCGCAAATAAAACAAAGAGTTAGTAATGTTTCACTCTTTTTTATGTAAGGATCTTCTTTTGTAATTCAATATTAGTCACTGCAAACTTTTTTATGAATTGAAGAAAGAATACTATAATAATTTGCGTTTAAAATTTGAAGGCAAGCTTCGAAAATTTAATAACGAACTTAATACCATACATTTTAAAAAAAGAACTAGATTACTTATCTTTATGAGTCCGATCTTCAATTAAATGGTCTTTAAAATTAAATGATTAGAAAATTAATGATGTATTTAATAATTGTTAGAAGGAATTTATAAAATATCTGGAATTATAAATCCAAATGTTTGCCAAGAAATAAATGCATTGTTGTTTTATAGGTAAAATATAGATAAATGATTTAATGATTCCACCACTTGTACAACATGTACATAGTTCATATAATTATATAACTTTGTTTTGTTTGTTTGTTTCATTTTACGCTTTTTCCCAACAGTATTTCAGTCATATAGGCGGGTAGTTTCCTAACCATCGTTCCTGGAGAGTAACACCAGTACTAGACTACTTTCCTCCGTGCTAAACTACCAAAGCATCTTCCGAGGATCGAACCCACGCCAGAGAGGTAACTGGATTAAAAGTCATCCACTCTAACCCCTCGACCACGACGGAGGCGGTCATATGTATAACATAATGAACAAAATACAAACATGCTGACTGACAAAGTTCTGCTTAATAACTTCTAAAGTCATAGGGTTAAGGATCAAGATAACTTTCATATTCTATAATTTTCTTTAAGATGTTTGTAAAGATCTAACATTATACTCTGAGAAATATCACAACGACATACAAAGCTATTAAAGTATTACATATTATAAAAGTTTATCTGGTATTTAAAGTTATGCACATCTTTAATTATTTATCTATTTACTAATAATAATAAACACAAATTACAGTCTGAATACAAAAGTTACAATTTCAAATATTTCAACATAGACTAGGAAATCAATTTGTCTCAGCGAAACTCATGCAAAAGCAAATAATGTTAATCATATCTGGCTTCCGAGGAATCACTCCTATTCTAGATTTGTAATGTATGCTGATGTCTTGTTTTATTAGGCAACGTTAAACTCAGTAAACAGGCCAATTTGACATGACAGAGGTGACACTGAAGGCACATTTCGGTAAACTTATATTAATGGTTCTGGAGACTTGCATGTAATTTCCCTTGACCTTCATCAATTTTACGTGCATTGTACCTAAAGTTCACGACTTTTACTTAAAGTTGCATTTATAATAAACATAAATTTCACCTGAAATGGTATTCCAAAAGGTGTGGTTACACTACGGCGTTTATATGGAATATAAAAGAGTGTTTATGCACTTACTTATGGCCAAGTTCATGTGTGACTGTATATGCCAAAGCCAGTCCGGTGTCCTCACTTATACTGCAACTTCTATGTGGCTGGCACATTCCAGATACCTGCGCCAATCCAAGGGTTCCACAGGGTTCATTCAGACGGGAACAAATATTTTTCCTGCATTGTATATAAAATTGGTGAAATGATAAACAATCCTTCTCGAATGAATAAGAACACAATAACTAGACTGTAATGGCTGAATAGGAATATCTCACATTTTAGGCAAACTTTATTTTTTCAAAAAACAAAAGATAGAAATTTGAAATGGAAGTAACTTGTTAACAGACAACATACCTTGTAAGAAGAATTGCGACATCATGATGATTTGGATGATCATCATCTTTAAAGTTTATTTTCTTCTGGAACTTGCAAAAACTTTGTAAGGTTTTGTCGGCATGATGCGTTATATTCAGGTCTTTCTGGTAAAAAAGTGCACAAATATTATCAATATATGAATAAAAGATTACACAACATTAATGGCCTAGTAGCGATAAAGTGACTAATGCGTCAATCCACAATTGTTTGAATTTGTTTTGGCAACAATTACGATCAACACTTTTACCACAAAGGTTGTTTTCAAAAAAACAAATAGATAATGATATACGTAATAGAAAGAGCATCGAAACACGAGGTTATGGAGAGCGTTGCTCCCGAGGAGTATAAATAAGATTGCCGAATGTTTTGATGCTCTTTCTCTGTTGTGTCATAGGTAAAATTGAAGAAAAATAAAAAATAAAACACGTTCCTTGTTGTAACAATATGAAACCAAAGAAAACAGTTATCAATGAACGGGCAAATGAATAAGGCATTTCTATTGCTATCCCTTTCTCTGTCATCACAACAAGTAAAACCAAGGAAAGTAAATGAGCCAATCAACGGGTACGCTCTGGAGTGCCGGGAACTAACACCTGTACTCCAGTTAAAGCACTGTGCATGTATATGTATACGATTTATCACTGACACATTTTCAACAGAAAGGTTTACAAACTATGATACAAGTAAACTTTAAAGCAGGCTGTATATATTGCTACTAAATCATACTCATTTATATTGTATTGATAACATATCTGATAAATGAAAAGGATTTTAACGTTAAGATTATACTTAATGCTACCCTTTCAGTTGCTATACTTGCTCTGCAATCCAGCATATCATGTTTCCTACCAGTCCAATACTCGTATAATGGGCTCGTAAAGTTTTTCCCAATATAATATTATTTTATTGTACGTTATTACTGTGAGTGAAATATGAAAGCATTTTCTTTCATCGATGTAATATAAATATTGACATTTATTGCAGGAGTGTCTCTAAAGTGCTGCCAAAATTATTCTTGAGACACGCTTATCTCGTGCATATGTCACTCAAGTGATACGGAATAGCTTATTTTAGAGACAGATATGTTATCGTAGAACATTGTCGATAACAGAATCATTTATAATTTTGTGGATAAGAAAACGATTAATGATGCACTAGAAAAAAAGAGAAATGTAAAATGTAAATAAAGCCATCTGAAGACAACTTGCAGTAAAATAAAACTGGAGATTTTCTTCATATAACTTTTAGACAATGCTAGTTAAATGTTAAATACTGTGGTGGTCAAGCAATTGACTAAAGCTTAACTTTAAAAAAGAAACAAATAGAAATACGAGTAAGCATAGAAAATAAATTCACATTCTAAGAATAGAAGTTATCAAATAAGACTGAGTAACTGAATAAATCCGAAATTAACTCAAATACAGAAGAAAGTTTTAAATTAGAGTCAAGCAAATCAAAATAGTGATTAGTGTTTGTTGATCATTTTTGTTGCAAAACTGATGATAAACTAAACATCTGTAATGCAGACGTTTCTCTCAGTACACTTATATTGTTTGTCATTAAATTATTATTCATTGATAAATAAACTAAATCTAAACGAAACAATAATGTCAAAATGCATTTAGTAGATCGCTCTTCTTGTAAGCAAAAATGATGATGAGTTATAATAGTACCTGATCTTCTTCCATCAGCAGAATTCTGACAAGAACTATACTGATAGAGTTCCCAACTGTTGCATCATGGAACATTGTAGCAACCTGTATGAAACAAACATTAGAATATTAAAAAAATTAGACATCATTTTTTATATTCAAAATAAAAATGTACATTATTTAAAATTCCTCAGCAAGCGTTGGACAATTATAGAAGATGATTATTGTTACAAACTATGTACATTCGTATAATATTCAGACTGTGGTATATAAATAATACGTTTTGTACGCATTACATTCTAATAATATTTAGGCATTGATATATATATAATATATTTTGTACACGTTGTAGAGCAAATGGTTTTGCATAAAAGTGTTACAGGGAATAAGACTACATTTGACAAATCTGTCTTAAAAATATACAAATTCCGCTATGTATACCATATTCATGACTGTCAGAACATAGTTGTCGAGGTCCTCGTTGTTATGGTATTTGATCATGCTATGGTCCACGACAACAAGCGTTTCCACATATCTTTCTGTGGAAAATGACCTCTTGCTTCGATGATGCTTTGTCGACTTTTTCCTCCTGTGATGTTGTTCCCATCTCTCCCTTTGTTTATTTGCATTGGCAAACTCTATTAAAAGTATGAGCTAAATATTAGTGTTTATTACATCAAAATAATTAATCCTTTCTTTTGTTCTATCAATATTTTAACTCATAAAATATTCTGTCTTGATAAATGAAAAAAAAATCTGTACAGGCATTTGTCCAGTTTTAATAGTTCAAAATATTTAGTTTGATAAGTATTGTGTAACGTGTGGATATATATTGATCATTGCTATATTCATATTGTAATATAACCAAAATTAAGTTACACCTATCTTTGCCACGATGACGATGTAATATAACTAAAACTATGTTACACATAAGTGTGAAGCTGAGACCCGCTATTATACATCAATGTTGAGAATGTGAAAGTACTCGTATTTTTGTGATGTGAGGCACAAAATGCATTAGCCGTTAGCATGACGTGAAGTAGCTCATTTGGTAACATAAATTTCCTGTTATAATAAAAAAAACATGACACACTTTTTCAATCTAAGTAACGATCATGTTTCATTAGATTTTCTTTATGATGCATGTAATATGAGTGTTGCAAATTTAACCAACAAATAGGTTTATCAATTTTCCCATTTAATGTAAAAACAAATTTAAAATTTGCTGCAAATTGCTGATATTAAAACTGATAAAATATTATTTACAACATATGCCAATTACATTTAAACGGTGCTTACATCATCGCGGCATCTATTTCGTTTCATGAAATGAACAGTATGTAATTTTCATATATTCATACTTGATATTAAATTATTTTATCATTATATCGAACAAGTATCGTCTGCAAGACGCCTTATATAATGCGGACATTGTAACTTGTTGTTACGTTACTATTCGTGATTTTTTTGTGTGGGGGGCGGGATGGGGGAGGTGTGGAAAATTTGTAGTCTACATTGATCGCGAAGACAAAGAGTCTTTTGCATGATGAATTCAAACATTTGAAATATATGAAAAGAAATATTATATCAAATTCTTAGTTATTTTACACATAATACATGTATTATGTTACAATTAGTCTGCATTTAACCACGAAAAATTAAAAAAAATGTGACATCCTTCAAGTCGTTTGAATGAATTTTAAAGGTATTTATAATTTTGGACAAGAGTAACGTTTACAAAATTCCCTTCAATCTCCGGTGGTCTGATGCTTAAGTTTATACCTTTAACTCCACATGAATCATCCTCGGAACTTTCACGCCGATGTATGTTTGCCGCTAACTGTACAGGGTCCAGATGAGCGGGTAATGCAGTCCTTTTGTAGATCACGTGACGATGATGACCTTCTGGTGTAGAAGGACTTCTGTCTAAAGGTTCTATGAAATATTCGCCATGTTTCGTATGTATGAATCCTTGCTGAAATAATAATTTCAGAAATAAAGCGCATTGATTTAAAATTACATATCATTTATACATGTATGAATGTAAATGATATAAGTTTACGATACGAAACCAAGAAACTGTATATTTACACATATATCCGCTTCAACTGAACAGATTAACATAAAAAAATAAAAATAAATAGCAGATTTTGTGTTGGTTTACGTCAATACAAGAAGAGATAACAGCTCACAAGTTTTGTAAACTCTCAAAGTGTTCACCTTTCTGCACCAAAATAATGCGCATCGATATTTATTGATCCTTATTTTCCATTCAGATTTAATTTTCTAGTAGTACGAAAAGTTAACAGTATTAAATATTATACAAATCTATCTTCAGTGTAAGTAAGACATTCTCCCTGCATCATTTATGACTGTATGAGGATGATTATTATCAAGAGATATGTAACACTTGTCCCGTTGCATGCTAAAATGTTTGTTCTTATCACCCTTAGACTAATTGGCAACATAAATAGTGTACATTTTAATCTCTTTATGTAACAATCTTTAAAACTGTGTTACCATTGCTGAAACTGTAATAAAATTCGTCATTTTATAGTTTTGTTTTACTTGATTTATATGATTCCATGCGTCAAATCTCAGCAAACATTAGACTGAGTAGAATTTTATCGGAATAATTACAATCGCAAAACAAATTAAAATCTATAATCTCTTAGCGGAGCGGAACATGAATAGATCTGACATTCGCAAATATGGATGTCAAATGTTTAAATCAAATAATCCGCTGGTCTGAATAGTACAATAAATGCTGCCTGGAAATGTACATTTAACAATTCTTCATTATTTGATATATTATTGATTCTATATCACTTTTACATTATTAATGAGATACTGAACCTGCTTGACTGCTGTATAACAGAAACATAGCAAATCACGAATTGCTGAATTATTCATTACAAAAAAGAGAGATATAACAAGTTTAGTGTAATACTTTTATTATTAGGTTGATGCTTTTTACATGCCATTATAGATATTGTATATTCTTTGATGCACATTTTGTATATAACAGCATATGTCAACGCAAAATCTCTAATGTTCTTGTCCAATTTAGCCACGTATATTGTTATAGAACATTCATGTAATTTCATCATTAATAACAAGACAAATGCAAAGTAATATACTTAACATCAAAAAAGCTGAAGTTGCTGAGCTAAGCAGACTGCATAAAGTTTCATTGAAAAACAATGCCAACAAACAATGAAACAAATGGGGGGGACTCCAACTCAATGGCTTTAGAACTATGAACATTTTTGCTTTACTTTTGTACCTTCTTTATTACCTTGAAAGCTTTCTCTTGTAAAAAACATTTTAAAACAATGAAAATGGCGATATCATCATTATTATCATAGACAGCGAATAATTGATGAATTAACTTTATTACTAGACATAGATTTTAAGCTTATTCGCATGAACTGAGAACAAATGTTAAAGACAGCACTGCATGGTGTACTTGGTAACATTGAGATGAAACTATCGCACACGTCTAGTGTCTGACTGATTATCTTGTTTAAACAATGTTAACAGTCATTTGAATAAAATTATACAATAAGGTTGTTTTAGCAAATTGTCCATTCATGTTGTTTTATTACTGTTTCTCTTTCTGCATGTGTGACTGAAGATAGTATAAAAGTAACCATCAACTTATCTATCAGGTTTTGATTACCGTTATATTATCGGAGAGATCCGGTGTTCTCGTATAGAACAACTCTACAATTCTCGTCAAAAATAATAAATACATGTTGCTCCTAATGTATATTTTCGAAAACGTTTGGGATTACTACTATCAAAATCTTTAAATACAAATCATAAATAAACCAAAATGGCAAGTCGCCGATATACGATGCAATTCTTTGTTAGCATTTATCTCTGTAAAAATTGAAATTTAATTGTACATTTTAATACCTCATTTTAATAAATATTTCAAATAAAAACGTTACATATATCAGATTAAACTAGGCCATATATTTTGGAAAATGTTTCGTTAAATGACACGTTTACGACTACAATTAAATGTAATCTTTCTGATACTGATAACAGTCAGGGCGATATAGTTAAAGAAAAGACTACATGCAATGAGAGAAGTGGTAGGCAATTGAGATGAAGAAACAGAAAAATGGATGCTCGAATGATGTAGTCGGCAAGTCGGAAAATGATTATCGAGATTTCAGATTATAAAGAAAGAGATAATTTAGTAATTTGTATAAAATTGGGTACTAAAATTAAGTACTTTTTAATGATTGTTAACGTTTTAGATGTAATAATGAAATTAACTACGGAAAAATGTAACAGTTCTACATTTTCGATTTTGCTTGTACATGTATATTAATTAATAGACAAAATCTTATGTAATTCAAAAACATGATGAAATTTTGCTTTATTCGAAGTTCGTAAAACACATTTCTTTTATATGTTTTGTTTTTCGTGTGTATGTTTGAAAAGATCTCCATTATTCACACTATTCAAAAGTTTAGGCATAATACCAGATAGTGTCTATAAAGATGTTGCATCTTTCATTTAATACATTATCTCTACTGAACAAAGAAATGCGTAATCAGTATAGGACGCAAAACCGGCAAAAAAATAAACATATTGCAGCCTTGGTTTGGATGAGCTTGTTAATGGAATGTAATGGAACGTACTTATAAATGCAAGCTACTGTCCACATCCTTTAGACCGGCTTAAGCAGAACTAGATAATTAAACCTGAAATGTTGGATGTTTGAATTTAGATACATCTACATTTGTATGTATACGTCGGTTATCATAGAACATTCAATGTGACACATTAAAAGCGGCATATGCTCGTAATCATAGTGATTTATGTGAGAAAAAAGAACTAGTGTCTTTAAATCCATTTAAGAATAGACTTTTATTTTATGTCTTATAAGACGCATTTCATTTAGATATGATGTCCGTGAATTTAGATGGAAAAGTAAATTGCTGAAAATTGCATACTCGGATTAGCAGGTTTTTCAACATCTGATCCCCTTTCTCCAAAATTCAATTTAAATTAGTTTCGCCCATTGTTTTCTTAGGGCATAAATATCTATTTCATTTCGAAGGATCCCCTGTAAAATAGTTGACCTCAGGTCAATCTAACATTTATACGTGGTCACAGGAGCGAACATTTCGTCATATAATTTTATCTGTTAAGTCCTGTCTATCTCGCAAGGAAGCAATAAAGATTTTATCAAACGATTATTTATTACACTATTTAGTGGTGGTCCATGGTGTACGTTACCAGCAAGGACGACAACTATGACAGAGTATGATACATAGCAAGGGATTTAAATAGTAAGGTCTGTATATATATGGAATTTAAATGTTTAAAAAATGCTAATATATTAGATGCACTTAATGTTACAGCCGTTATAATTTAATAAATATTTTTATTTTTGTATTCTTGTGGTCTCTGTGAGAACTTTCAAGATATAATAATATTGTAACTGATTTATGCTGTACATTTTGGCGGGACTATCAATATTTGTAAAGTTCTGAAACTTCTGTAATGATCTCATGTCCTTGGAATTACCGTTTTTCCATACAGTAAAATATTATTTCTCATAACAGCTTCAATGTATAACAATGTATCAACGCTTAATGAAAAATTAGCCATGTACACTACGCCTTTTCATTTCGATTACAAAAAATAAATTGCAAGCACGTTTTTTCTGTCATTTAATGCATTGTATATACATTTTGATTCGTATTTTGATTATAAAACAAGTGCAAAAAATAGAAACCGTTAAATGAAAGCACTTAGTAATTTGGCAACTTTCAATTGAAATCTATGAAAGTAAAATGGTAATAAATATTCGCAAATACGAACATATATAACATTTTTACTACCTTCGATAAAGATTATCGTCTTGATAAAAGCCAGTGATTGGAGGGAAAGGTGGATAAAGACCATAATATTGTTAAATAACACGGTGAATAGAGTTGATATAACACTTGTATTAAGAGATTTAAATACAATAAGAAACACTCATGAACAATCTGACTTGGTTTTTTGTTTTTTGTTGTTGTTTTTTTGTTATTCTGATTTAAAACTAATAACGATATACAATGTTTAACATAACATATCAGGTATAAAATGTTTGGGTATTATTCTTACGACAGAGATACCTTTCTCGATATTCAAATATAGATCCTCAAACTTCAATTAACTGACTGATAGAAACAACTACAATGCCTGTAGGCAAAACAGATGTTAACAACTTTCTTCTAAAATTCTCCACTACATAGTAAGATAGAAATAAAACTAGGCAGATACCTGAACTTATCAATTAAGAGTGCAGTATCACTGCAGAACTCAGCTTGATTACTTCCGGTAAGATAGTTATCAATTTCCTATCATCGATATTAATTCGTAATGTATGGAATGGATTAAGGCATCAAAGTCAAAGTCTAAATTTTTTTTCTCATCTTTTTAATTGCTAAAAACACGAACACCACATGACCTTAATCTGAGACAAAGGGGAACAAGTACATTGTGCATATGTTAACACAAACTTAATTTGTTTATTAATTAGGGCTTTATGCAAATACAGATATTAATAATAATGTGTCCTCTAAAATGTCTGATAAAACTATAAAACGTTTCCGTTATGTCTAATCCAGTAAGTGTACTTGGTAATTAAAAGATATCATTGGGTCTACCTAATACCATTTTATACTTGACAACTTTGAATTAAAAATCAACTTACACAGAATACAATTCTTAATCTTAATTCGTTGTCTATGGAAATGTAGGTAACACCATGTTTAAATCATTCATTATATAATTATATGTTTAATATTGTGGTTATCTTGTCCTTGCTGTATTTTACCAATAAAACTTCCATCCGATTCAATCTTTGTACCTTAAAGCATTTCATTAAGTATATTTATGTTAATAATACATGTATATGTTTGATAGCTGTACCATCGTGTCATCACCTCGTCTCCGATTTTC